ATCAAGCTCGGTAATTAACTCATCATTTTGTCTTTTAATATAATCATAAAGTTCACATTTTTCACTGTATTCTGTCTGAATTCTCTTAAAGTCCTTTATTTTTGTTTCTAACTGGGCCTTAAGGGGTTTTTGTCCTTTCCTGAGTTGATAGCCCTCATATCTAAGGTCCTCTACTTCTCTACGTAATAATTGAATTTCATCATGAAGAAGTTTAACATATTCATTACATGCCTGAGAACAAGAAGGTAGATTTACCTCACTCTTCCTGGGCTCGGAAGTAGAAGACACCATCAGAGCAAACTGCAGCTCCATCATTTCTGCTTCAGGATCAGCTGCATCATTCTTCAGGGGAGCATCATCAATTTGAGCTAGGTGAGCGTTTTCTGGCCCTGAAATATTCAAAGCCTGAATCTGGTCCTCCCAGTCAAAGGACTGAGCGACCATAGCAGTCTCACCATTAACCGCAACACCTGCACGATTGTTTCCCACTGCAACCATTGTCCTGTTGTTGTTCGTCCTACGATCTGGTTTTGGACACTCACGAGCAAAGTGACCCGGCTCGTGGCAGTTGAAACATCGCAGCATTCCCTTGTTGAACCCCACCTTCTTGTCAGCATTCATGCCCCAGTTGTTCTTCCCTGTCTTTTTAGCAAACTGCTTGGCCCTGAAAACAGCCATAGCAATCTGCCATGTAATGTCCATCTCTTCCACGTCTTCTGGATGAATCTGATCCAGGTCAGCAAATGACAGCTGAGGTGGAAGCTCTCCAGCTACAAAAGCATTGTAGCAGTTAACAAGCCCAGTGGCTAGAGCCAGATTTTCATCAGTGTCTTTCGTGTTTGAGGAAGAGGCTACAACTGGCACATTTGGAGGGGGAACAGCTTGTGGAGTGACAAATGGCTGGCTTTGAGAATGAGGAATGGATGATGCAGCAGCGAAGGTCTGAATCTGAGGTTGTTGAGCAGCAAATACTTGACCTGAGGAAGACATGATTGATGAGAGAGCATTGTTGGATGAGATTCCAAGATTTGCAGTTGAGTACGAGTTCACATGGTTAATCTCTCTCTGTTTGTCATCAATATCACAAGCTTTGATGATCGCCATGATTTCAGCAAGAGTGAGGCGATTCAGATCCTTGGTCTTCTTAATCACAGCAACATTCATGTCCCATGACCTAGGAAGAGCATTCAGAAGCTTCTTGTTAATCTCTGACTTGGTCAAGAAAATCCCAGATATATTCATGTCAGTGGTGAGAGTTGTGAACCGCTGCAGCTGCGCCTCAAGAGTCTCTCCGGGAATGTAGTTGAACATATTGAACTTTTGTCGCAACATGTCCTGGCGACTCTCCTTCATATCTTCATTGCCTTCATATACCTCAATTAGGGCTTCCCACAAATCTTTAGCTGAAGTATACTCTCGGAAACCTTGAGCAATATCAGGAGATAATGCCATGGTTAGAGTGGCTAAAGCCCTTTCCTGCTCTTCAACTTTCTCAAACTCTTCATCTGTGTAATTCTCAACAGCTTTGTCAATCACTTGTCCTCCAACCATCATAGTGATTCTAACAGGACCTTTGATGATGCTTCTCCAGACTTTAAAGTCCTTCATTTTAATGTACTTTTCAATCCTGTATTTCCACTCAGGAAAACCATCTGCAGACATTAATCTTGGAATACGCGTAGTAGTGCCCATGACAGTATCAAGTTCGTGAAAATGAGTTTGACTTTGAGATTCCATCAAAAATTAAAGCAAAATAATGTCAGAAAGGAGTTTACGGTTGATGTGATTACGACCGTAAACTGCGTTTACGGTTAATGTGTTTACGGCCGTAAACTGAGTTTACGGTCGGATGATTACGGTTTGGATGTTTACGGTTTAAGTGTTTACGGTTATTGAAGCTTAGGTTACGGTTAATGAAGCTTAGTTTACGGTTAATGAAGATTCCTTGTTTATGGTCCAAGAACACAGTTTACGGTTGATTAATGTTCTTGAGTTTACAGCCGTAAACTGAGTTTACGGTCGGCAGTAAACTCCCAAAAGTTCTTCAAAAAACGCGATTTTGGAGTAGATTCAATCCCTTTAACCACGAAAACACCAAAACCAATCTCGAACAGTAAAGAATGTCAGTCTAAGCAGCCGAAAACTCGATTGAATAAAGCTTTGACACCGGTTTCGCTCTGATACCAATTGTAAGGTCCTTAAACGGATCTTTACCAATGATCAAGCAACAAACAATCAATAGCAATCACAATAGAAGTAGAAGAAGAAAAGAAATCAAGCTTGCACACGTTTATTGCATAAAACGTCTGGTACAACTCGACAGAATGGACCGTGAACTCTATGGCATCAACAACTAGACAAAGACCTACAACTCCTCTATTTATACTAGACTTGGGCCGCAAACTGGGTTTACGGCCGTAAACAGGTTTACGGCCGTAAACTCACTCTTGTCCGTAAACTGCTAAACAACTCCCAAAACACACTAAAGACTCATAATGAACTATTACACCGAAAGTCTAGACCAAACCATTAACTGGACCCTTCATTTTATATAATTATACCCTTTGCTCATCGGGTTACAAAGGGGTAAAGTTTCCTAAACTGTATTTATATAGTTTATTGTAGAAAACGAGTTTGTAAACCAAAACATATATATATATATATATATATATATATATATATATATATATATATATATATATATATATATATATATATTATATATATATATACTAGCCGTTTACCCGCGCAAAGCGACGGGTGCGAATAGTTTTTTTAGAAATTAGTTTCAAGAGACGATTAGTTTTTTTGCGCAAATAATTACTACCTCTAAACAATTATCAATAAGAGTCATGATAGAAAAAACAAAATCAATAAAAATTAAAAATGAAAAGTTGTGACTCTTTACAAATATACAAACACATGATTGATTGTGCTTTATTAATCATGTAACACTTTTTTATACACCACATTTGATGTAGAGACTTCATTGCCGTTGAATTGTTCGTCAAGGTTCACTAATATTTTTATATTGACACGTGATATCCTTCTGGATAATGCCACATAAAATTAGACATGCAAATAGTTAATTTTGGAAATTATTTTCATTCGGAAACATGTCATATTTCAAGAAACACAAGTTACTTTTGGACAAATTATTTTCTTCGGGTGTTTATTTGTCATTCGAAGATGTTCATTTTTATTTGTTGTTTTGGATTAAAAATAGAAATATGTTGATGTTTTTGTTTAAAAACGAAAATGTTATTATGCGTTAAAAATAAATGTATATTGTTCTTTTCTATATAAATGTACATTGTTGATTAAAAACCCGATTAAATCTTTACATTTTCGGTATAATTATGATTTATGTTGTTTTTTCACAACAGATCGGTAATGATAAATCGACGTCTAGGTAGAGACCCTTAATTGTTCTTGCTTGTGGATTGAGGTCAAACGACTAATCCATGCCTAGACAAAGATCCATGATTATTATTATTATTTTATTATTATTATTATTATTATTATTATTCCACAACAAAACCTAAAGTTTGCAGATTTGACATTCGAAATGTTTAAAAGATTTGACATTCGAAATGTTTAAAACAATGTCGTTTCATAAAATAAAATAAAAAGACCATACTATGAAATGGTGTTGTTTTGTATACATGTGTATTCCTTTTTATCAAATAGTTTCCTTATGATTCGGGTTTAGGGATCAAAATCTATTCAAAGTTTATCGTTATCCAGAATGAAAAGACTAAATAAAATTGTTGGGTTCCAATTAAAATTTACATCCTAGTTTGTGGAATTGGTCGTGGTCATATTTTTCACCTTAAATTTGACTAATATAGTTATCAGTTCCTTAAAATTAACTGATACAATACCAAGGCTCTCAGCAAAATGTCAATTTTAATTTCCTATGACACTTGATCTTTGAGTCCATATTTACTTCGAAAGTCTCCCATATAATGTGGAACTTATTAGACAATTGATTCTTTCTTATAGTACAACCTAAATTCTTTTCGGTCACTTATTTAAAAATATTGAAATTGTTATTGATGACACCATTGGATTGAATTTAATAACCAAATAATCAAACTTAAAATTTTCCATAAAAGTGAAGTTTTACTAAATTTATTGATTGTCGATTGGATGAACCGGTATATTTTCATGGTTTTTGAGTTTTCGAAAAGTAAAATTCAAAAAAAAAAAAAGACAAAACACACAAAAAAAGTTGAGAGAATAACTTTAAATAAGAAAAAATAGAATGCATTTGGCTTTTTTTAACTATAGCCACATATGTTAGTTTGACCATTTTGCCCTCAGACTCATGTTATTTTGCTTGGATGCCTATGCATCTATTGATGTTGTTTAATTGAGCTCGTGTTAGATAGAATTGGACAAACACTTGTCTAGCTTGCTACCCGTTTCTTGGTTGTGCAAGTTGTTTTGACCATTTTGCCCTTGTCTTTTTGTTTCCTGTATGATTTCATCTTCTAATGTGTTGTGAAATAATGATAATTATTTTGAGAAAAAAATTATCAAATAATATTATCTGGTAATATGCTATTAGAGCAAGCATCTTAAAAGTATCATAAATGAGATCTTCATTCAAAAGGGTTTGCTCACTGTTAATCAGAATGATAGAACTCCTGAAATAAGCAAGCATTGATACAATAAATGAAATAGATATAACACTTAAAAGAGAGTGAGCCAAAAGAGGGATTAAAAATAATGTTTTACCTGCTTGTCATCCAAACGAAACCAAAGCATGCATTCCAAGACTTGCTAACACCAACTTGGAACTTTTGTTTAAGTAAACCATTCGATTAACTTTTCAAAATCAACAACAATATAAATACATAACAATTGAAGTTTTGATGATTCATAGATGTTATTTTGTACTTCCTTACATGATTCCGGAAGATTGATATTAGAGATATAATAGTCGTAACAACAATTTTTGAATTGGTTGTAGATAACAACACTGCTTGATAGAAACCAGCTAAACCTTTCATCATATGCCTTTCTTTATAAAAAAAAGGATAAAAAAACATACTCAATCTTTTACTCCATACAGATAAACATATATACATGTCATCATTTTATATTAAAAAAACAATAAAAGCTATTAATTATCATGATTGTAGCCCACTTAACATTTCACTCTCTGCCTTCATCTTCTATAGCTCAACCTAAAATATTATTAACTGAAAGTTAATTTCAGAAAATAAGAATATAAAAAATATGTAGAAAAAATTAAATCCCAACATCTCAGTTCATTAACTACATACCTTGTTCTTAGCTTTTTTAATTTTCTCAATAATTTGAGACTCCACCATTCACAAACCATTAATCCATTGCTATTATCTTGAAACCTTTCTATAAAGATTAGATGAATCAAAATTACAAAATTTGATTGAAAATTTCAATAATGCTTATAGATCATAAATAATTAAGAAATTTTAAGGAATTTTACAAACATATACCTATAAAATTAGACTTACAGTTCATAAAAGTGATTAGCTCGTTCTTCCCATGTTTCAACAAAAAAACATAAAAAACCCACAAATCAAGAAATCCAAATGGTTAAACAAAAGACATGGCCGATAATCATTTTGTTTTTTACCTACATTTGGGCGGATAAAGAGAGAGGGCTGAGAACTGTACCTGAGAAATGATAATAACAAAAAATATGAGAAATGAAACATGCAAAAACATAAAAAATGGCACTTATGATGTATTCCATTATCTTCTGGATTTTGATTCCAGTTTCTCTTAGCCATTTCCATAACTACACACATGATGGATTAATACTTTTGGATAAACATTATAGAGAGACAGAAAATAATTCATACCTCGTCAAGAATAAGATCCACATTCAATCACCAACCAATAGGAATAATAACCCTAAACTTTCAATCAAAATGTTAATTGCTTGATTCCTCCTGCTCAAAAAATAAGAAAAAAAAGACTCTATAACATTTTATCTCCATGTAATCTGCAACAAACATGAACATAAATTAGATGGAGGAGACATAGTTAAGGTTTTTCTTAAAGGTCAACTCATAGCCCCTTGAACCATGCACCTCATAACTCTGTGGATCAGAAAGTCGAATAAAAATGTTGAAAAATAGCAATACACCTCATAGCTCTATGAATCAAATAAGAGCCCTTTCACCTTATAGCACGATCGGCGATGCTAGAAAAGAGAAGGAGGCAAAAGATCAGCCGACACCACTCCCTTCTCTTCTCTTATACCTAGCATAGCTCAAAATCAACTGTGACAGATGATGGTGAACCTCGAATAAACAAATGAACACAGATAAACACACACAAAGACGGGAAAAAAGAACGAAGAAACATAAAGGCGGTAATGGTAGAAGCTAGGTTTTTGAAGAGATTATGTCGACAGAAATTCTGAGAGGGGATGGTGGCTTTTAAAAGGGATTAGCGGAAATTTCAATTTGAGCTAGAAAATTCAATTTGAATCTGTTGACCGGATATTCATCTCCAGCACCAGAAAATTAAGGGATGATGATGATACCAGCATGTGATTGACCGATTCAAAAAATATGAACAATACCATATTTCAAATTTTGTTTCAACGCCAAATAAGATTCTTTAGCTTTGATTTTTGTTGACTATTTGACTTATGTTCACCAAAATTAAGGGAAGACTTATGAAACTCAATAACAATCTAATGACCTGAGGCAAAGAAGACCACGACCCTAACCAGGTTTTCCATGAAAATCTCGTCGCATCTATACCTGCAAGCCAAGTTAAAACCTGAATTAGAAAAAAAAAAAACAAAATCCATGATGTTGTTGAGCAGAGCTAGATCCAGATACACATCAACACCATGGAGAAGAGTGATGGTGGCGGGTTGAGAGATGCATTTAGGGTTCTGAATAGTGAGAAGAGAGACGGTAAAGTTACCTTAGACTCATTCTAGTAAAAAAGTATGATTTTTTTAAAATTTAAATTCTCTATATTGGGTAAGATAATGATTTTTTTAAAATTTAAATTCTCTATATTGGGTAAGATAAGGATGTAGGTCTGAATATTTCGATATTAATTTTACATTTGTACTTAATGCATTGTATTTTGTACTTTGTTGATAAATGTTTGTACATTCAGCTTAAAGGTTTGGACGTCTTAAATCTATTTTTAGAAGTAGTAAGGTTTGTATAATAAGATAGTATATATATATATATATATATATATATATATCTATAATATATATATATATATATACTTTAAAGGAATTATTTAATATGTTTCGCAACAATTGTTCATATTATTACATTTTTATCAAAACTTTGCCCGTATTGATATACGGGTTTGGTAGTAAAGCCATTTCATGTTTTTATCACTTTTTGTAAAACTAGTAAATAACCATTTTTATATGGTTGCGTTTTAACGTTAAATTTCTTGTGAGTTACTTGTATCCCCCCCCCCCTCCCCCCTCCTAAAACATAGAAAAAGTTTGTAATATGTAGGGGTATGAACTCACCTTATGTATTGTTGCGGCTTGAAAACGAGATGACGATGATGATCTTTATGTTAGAATACTCGGAAATGATCGAACTCCTAAGAGTTTTAACACATTCTAATGTGTAAATAAAATGAACTAATCATAGAAAGAATGTAGAACACTATGATGTTAAGAGGACTTACCAAAATGCTAAGGAATGAGTCTCAAAGATGAAGCTCCAGGAAAGTATGATTCTTGAGAGAGAATTGGAAGTGAACTGTGTTTAACTGAGAATGGTTTTTGGAATTGTGGAGGTTTCTAATTCGTGTATATGCATCTTATAGGAAATGTGTTAAGAAGAGTTGATGAGAAGTGACAGTGAAGTGATATTTACCTGGGTAAGAGCACTTATCACCTTGGGAAGCTAATTTGACCAATCAAGTGGCACCACTTGGCCACTTTATGGATGATTTCGGTCAATAAGGAGGAGATTTCGGCCAAGCATGACCGAAATCTCTCAAATAGACATACTAGAACATGATTTCGGTCCTAATGAACCTTAAGGAAGGGATTTCGGTCCCATGTGGTGTAGTTTTCGGCCTTAGTGGGCCTGATACTTAAGGTTTTCGGTCCTATGTGTTGCCATGAACAGTTTTAGGTTCTATGTGGCCGAAAACTCAATTGTGTAAGGCCTAAAAGTCCAATTCACTAAAACAATGCAATTCCTTTGACTATTGTTGACTTTCCAAGGCTTATTACTACATGGATTTCAATATATACATATACCTAACTTATATAAGTATGGTTTTCAAAGTATATTTATATAATAACTTATATAAACATGGCTTTCAATTTATATTAATATATATAAACTTGTCCTCATGGCTGAGGGTGGTTTAACGTGACAAGGTTACAATGTGGTTCTCACTTATACATGGTACATCTTTCGACTTGTTTTGGCTCTAAGTTTGCCAGTTCTCACATTATCCCCCCGTTAGAGGGAATTTCGTCCCAAAATTAATAATTTGAGTGGGACTTCATGTATTGGGAAAAAGATGTGGATACTTCTGTTTCATTTGGTCTTCCCGTTCCCAAGTGAATTCGGGTCCTCACTTGGCATTCCAGCGGACCTTCACTATTGGTATTCGGCTCTGTTTCGTTCTCTTGATCTCTCTGTCCATGATTTCTACAGGGTCTTCTACGAAGTGTAGACTCTCGTTTAATTCGATTTCATCGAGCGGGATTACGAGAGTTTCGTCGGATAGGCACTTCTTTAAGTTGGAGACGTGGAAGGTGGGGTGTACGTTTCTGAGTTCCTGCGGTAGTCGAAGTTTGTAAGCTACCGGACCGATCCTTGCGAGGATCTCGAATGGTCTGACATACCTTGGGTTTAGTTTCCCATGTTTTCCGAAGCGTATCATTCCCTTCCAGGGTGAGACTTTTAACAGTACCCGGTCACCAACCTGGAATTCTAAGGGCTTTCGTCACTTATCTGCATAGCTCTTTTGGCGGTCTCGAGAAGCTTTTAGTCGTTCACAAATTTGAACGATCTTCTCTGTTGTTTCTCGTATGATTTTGGGGCCAGTGATAGTGTTACCAGGTACTTGCCCCCTTGCTAGTTGCGTGTCACCCACTTCAGCCCAACACATAGGTGATCTGCACTTGCGGCCATAGAGGGCTTCAAACGGAGCAACTTTAATGCTAGTGTGATAGCTATTGTTGTATGAAAATTCGATGAATGGTAAATGGGTATCCCAAGCTTTACCAAAGTCTATCACACAAGCTCTCAGCATATCTTCCAATGTTTGGATAGTTCTCTCGCTTTGTCCGTCGGTTTGTGGGTAGTAGGCTGTACTCATATCTAGCCTGGTTCCCAAGGATTTTTGTAGTATTTGCCAAAATCGTGAGGTAAACCTGCTATCTCTATCCGAGATAATGGATATCAGCACGCCATGTAGATGCACAATTTCTTTGATATACGTCCTTGTTAGCTTCTCCATTTTGTTTGTCTCTTTTATCGGTAAGATGTGTGCAGACTTGGTTAACCTATCAACGATCACACATATGGTGTCAAGTCCACCCGATGTCTTAGGCAACTTGGTTATGAAATCCATGGTTATCCGTTCCCACTTCCACTCGGGTATCTCTGGCTGTTGCAATAATCCTGAGGGCCTCTGATATTCTACTTTGACCTTGGCGTAAGTCAGGCACTTGCCCACGTAGGTAGCGATTTCTGCCTTCATGTTTGGTCACCATTAAAGTTTCTTGAGATCTAAATACATCTTGTCCGAACCGGGGCGAACAGAGTATCTAGTATTGTGATCTTCATTCATGACCACATCTCTGAATCCACCAAACTTCGGTGTCCAGATTCGGTTCACGAGATAAGAAACTCCGTCCTCCTTAACTTCTAGGTTCTTATCCATTCCTTGTAGGGCTTCTTCGGTGATGTGCTCCGGTTTCAAAGCTTCATGTTCGACTTCCTTGATCTGCGTGGATAGGTGTGAATGGATGGTCATGGTTAATGCTCGTACTCGGTGGCCCGAGTATTCCTTTCTACTGATGGCGTCTGCTACTACATTGGCCTTTCCTGGATGATAGCGAATCTCACATTCGTAGTCATTTAGTAGCTCTACCCATCGTCGTTGTCTCATGTTGAGCTCTTTCAGATTGAGAATGTGTTGGAGGCTCATATGGTAAGTGAAGATCATGCTCTTTGTACCGTAGAGGTAGTGTCTCCAGATCATCAGGGCAAATACTACTGCTCCTAGATCGAGGCCATGTGTGGTGTAATTGACTTCATGAGTCTTGAGTTGCCTTGAGGCATAGGCAATAACCTTTCCTCGTTGCATGAGTACACAGCCTAAACCTTGTTTGGATGCGTCGCAATAGACTACGAAGTCTTCCATTCCATCTGGAAGAGACAAGATCGGTGCACTGCATAATGCTTGTTTTAGGGTTTGAAAGGCAACCTCCTGCTTGTCTTCCTAGTTGTAGGTTACTCTCTTCTGAGTCAGGGTAGTGAGCGCTTTAGCGATCTTGGAGAAGTTCTGTATGAATCTCCTGTAGTAGCCAGCGAGGCCTAAGAACCGACGGATCTCCGTTGGCGTTCTTGGTGCTTTCCAGTCTTTAATTTCTTTGATTTTTGAGGGGTCCACATGTATTCCTTCTCTTCTGACTACGTGACCCAAGAAATCCACCTCTCGGATCCAAAATTTGCACTTTGAAAACTTCGCATATAGCCTTTATGTCCTCAACATCTCCAAGACTTGTCGTAGATGGTGACTATGCTCTTCCTTACTTCGTGAATAGATCAAAATTTCATCTATGAACACAATCACGAACTTATCTAAGTAAGGTCTGCACACACGGTTCATTAGATCCATGAACACCGCGGGTGTATTAGTCAATCCGAAGGGCATTACTACGAACTCGTAGTGACCGTAGCGAGTCTGAAACGCCGTTTTGGAAACGTCACCCTCTTGGACTCGTAGTTGATGATAACCCGATCGTAGATCGATCTTTGAGAAGTAGCATGCTCCTTGAAGTTGGTCGAATAGGTCGTCGATTCGGGGTAAGGGATATCGTTTTTTGATAGTGAGTTTGTTCAACTCCCGATAATCAATGCACATGCGAAAAGATCCATCTTTCTTCTTAAAGAATAGTACTGGCGCTCCCCAGGGTGAGAAGCTTTGTCGGATAAATCCTTTGCTTAGTAGTTCGTTGAGCTGACTAGACAATTCCTGCATTTCTGATGGGGCCAATCGATAAGCTGACTTGGCTATGGGGGTGGCTCCAGGAATTAAGTTGATTCGGAACTCGACTTGTCGTACAGGTGGTACTCCTGGAAGGTCTTCGGGGAATACATCAGGAAAGTTTCAGACTTCGGGAATATCTTTGATATCCTTGACCTCCTTCGTTTTATCAACAACATGCGTTATAAATGCGTGGTACTTCTTGCGTAGATAATTCTGAGCTTTAATGCAAGATATGATTTGAAGTTTTGCTCTGAGTTTGTCACCGAAGATGACAAGAGTTTCGTTATTCGGGAGATTGAGTCGGACAACTTTTTCATAACATAAGATATCCGCATGGTGGGGATGTTGGATAAGGTGTCTAAGTCCATAACTATTTCTGGTATGTACTTGACCCGGTTTGGCATGATCCATTTGGGTTGCATGGCATCATCCATTTGGATAGACTAAAATGAGAGAAATAACACTTATGGTTTATTAATATATTATAAGTTCTAATATATTAATAATATTATTTAATTAGTATTGATCAAGAATTAATTTGGAATTAATTAAGTGATCAAAAGGAGACTAATTAAATATATGGGTTGATTGTGTAAATCATCCATATTTGTATAGTGGGTTAATGTTCCATGGATGCTCCATGGTGTTTTTGAACCCATGGATCCAAGAAATGAAAAGCCATGACAATTAGGGTTTACATGGTGTAACCCTAATTGTAACACACTATATAAGCATCACTTTGTTCACC